ATTCGAAAGGAATTTATTATACTTTCCGGATTTTGCAATTTATGTTACATGAAGACTGGTCGAAATGGCGTTCATTGGGAGAAGCCTATGTGCAGCAGTGGACTGCGATAGGCTGACGATTATGATGATGATATAGATTAAATACAAAAGTAAAAACATAAAACGTTTATTTCGATTTTTAATGAATATCAAGACATTTTACTGCCATGATATTAATTTTGTGTTAAATTTCTCCACTGGTTTGACTCAGCATACGACAAAGTTCCCTAAGGTGCTGGTTTACAGTCAGAATTTAATGTAGGAGACAAAAGAAGTATTTATAAAAAAAAAATGTGAAACGCCTTAGAGTAAAGTTTTTGTTTATGCCTATCCAAAACAGTTTCAGTGCCATATATAGCTTGAAATCTGAGACAGTGCCTCTGCATCCATGACCCGGTGACAAAAAAATTGGCAAGCCCCATGCGCCTGTAGTTTCACCACCACTCTTCAATATCGGAACGCAGTAATGGTCGCATTACTGCTTTTTAAATAGGTATGATTGCAGTAATTCCCTGGACGAACTTTTTCACAAGGAAGTAGAGCTCCTTGCGAAAGAGACGAGGACTTCCGTATGCGTTTCAGGTATCGTTGAGGAGACCACAATAACTAACTAGCGAAACCGGATAAGCGAACTTTTAAGGACAATTGTTTTTGATAAAAAAAGTTATAATTACGATTTGAAGAAGAGACTATGTGACAAGTTTAAAACAATTCATGCTTTTTTGGCGGAATGACTTGGACTCCTTTTTTAAAGGACTGGCCAGACGTTGCTCATGATTGAGAGCAATGGGAAAAGAAGGGGAGAACTTTGCCCAGCAGTTGGTCAAAAAGGGTTTATAAATAATCGCAGCACAAAGTACTAAAAAAACCGACCTCAAAAGTCATTCATTCCCTAGCCGCTCACGCGATACACGCAGCCGTAGACGCATACCACACCTAGAGGTGCCGGTGATGATTTTATACCGATTTATCGGATATCGAAGTTATAACAGGTCAAAGAACTAATACTAATTGCTATTTCGGTAATTACTCTAGCAAACCATGAAGTTTTTAATGCCTGGGTCTGTGATTTAAAAAAATAAGCAACTTCAAAAATACGTCACGACAATCGTGTGTGTTATTGTTTGGGCTGGTGATTTCGGTATTTATTTATTGAAAACATACCGTAAGTAGCGTTTTTTAAGTTTACCCTGAATATAAATGTTTATAAGCTATACTTTAAGGAGTAATTTCATGGTAAACGTTAGAACCACTCAAACGGAATATTATCATATTTACCCAAGTACACCAAAAATTTCATTAGTGCTTTTTAAGTGCAGGATTTGCGGTGTATTACTGCATTTTATTTGAGATGTTTTTGTTGTAGTACGGAGGGTATTTATTTAGCAATGCAGAATAATAATTTTTATTTATAAAAACTTGTATTTAAACTGAATCCTTTTCTAATTTGCGAAACCAAATAACCGCCATTTTGCGGTAGGATGAGCGCATCGCGTGAGCGGCTAGTTTGCCACCCTTGGAGGTGGAATATTTTCTTCAAATTTAAATGAGACCACTACTGAAGTACCTTCTTTTCATCAAAAAATAATCATCAAAATCGATTCACAAATCAAAAAGTAATCGCATAACATGCACCCACAAAAAAAACCAGCCGAATTAAGAAAGTCGTCCTTTTTTGAAGTGGGTTAAAAAAGGACGGAGCGTCGCCCCACATGGAGTTTAAGCGTTAATGGCTGGTATTAGGTGATTTATCAAAAAATAACGTATTTATTTTAAATTTATTTTCAGCATGTTCATGCGAGTGAATCGAAACTATAAAGGTATTCAGTCAATACAGTTATCCTGTTTTTAATTTTTGCTTAGTTACCATCAGCTTACACGCTGGACATAATTTCAAATTCAAATTCAAATAAAATAAATTAAATTATATAGAAATGGAATGAAATCAATAAAGAACAATAAAATAAAAACGAACACTAGACTCAATTAAATAATATTAATAATATTGTATAACGCACTGTGCTTTCTTACATGTAGGTTCATCCAGAGGGTTTGAATGGGACGGCACAATCTGTCTCCCACTATGGCCAGAGAAGCTACTCTTTTTCTAATGATGGCATGAAAGCCAGCAGTGCGCGCCTCAGTGAACATACCTGATGCGCTACAATGCCGCGGCAGTCCCATCAACATCATAAGCATCCCCTTGAGTACGCCAATTCTCCCAGTCTTGTGCCGCCCGAATCCAGCCGCTGCCGGCCACCTTGCTCAGATCGTCAGTCCATCTTGCCGCAGGGCATCCCACACTACGTTTTCCTTGACGTGGTCGCTATTCCAAAACAAGTCCTGAAGATGTGCCCGCCTCATTAATACTTAAGCTTACTGATTTTGCGAGTTATGTCGGTCATTTTAGTTCTCTGACGTATGGCCTCGTTAGGGATTCGGGCCATAAGAAAAACCCCAGGCATAGCTCACTCCATCGCACGCTGAGCAACCTTGAATTTGTGAATGAGGTCTGTTTTCATTGTCCACATCTCGGCTGCGTAATACATAACTGGTAGAGCGCGCTGGTTAAATGCCTTAGCTTTGTGGGATTAACGACCTGAAGATGTGGCTAAGCTTCCCAAATGCCGTCCAGCCCAAACGAATTCTCCTGTCGGCTTTTCTCTCGAAGTTGTGCTTGCCAAGCTGGATATTTTGGCCAATGTAGAAGTAATTATGCACAATCTCTACATTTACGGTTACGGTTCCCGGGGTTACATGTGCGTTGAACATACTTTCGTTGTGTCCAAGTTTGTTTAATTATCACGAATAGACAATAGATAATTTTTTTAAGAAAAAAAAATGATCTAAAAAGTTCGTGGAATTACATTCCATTTGCAAAGTTTTATTGAAATCGGAAAATATTCCTTTTTGATGTCGGTTAAAAAAATAGTTCCATTTCCATTTTGATTTTCTGCAAAGACAACTTACTTACGTGGAGTTTTCTTCGGACTCTGTTACACGTGAATTTTGTCGTGACCGTATCACGCGATCAAAGTTTGAAAAGGCTCGAGTTAAACAATGATCTGTATTCGTATAATGTCCTGATTACGAAAACAAAATGTTAATCTATAAACCTCGCAACCCTTCCGCGTCCCCCTTCCACATTAAAAAATAAAATAACATAGTAAAGAGGGAGGCACCCACCCCCGGGGTATAATAAATTCATTTGTAGTTTTTCCAATAATGTCCCTATTGGTGGAAAAATGACTACTTTCCGAGGCTGTGTAGTTCATCTCTTTTTTTCATTAACGAACATGTATTTTGCGTCACATCACGTTTTTTTGGACACCATTTGTATTGTTAAAACTATGTACACATATGTACACCTGATGATGACTGTGCTGCATTTATTACAGCTCCTATCTACGATATTATATGGCACATACTTGCACATAAAAACGGTAACAAACTTACAGGCGCATAATGAATATTTTATAATATCGTCATCAACACGTTCTGCTGCTGCGCACGGTCGGCTACACGTGTGTCGGGGCTGCAGTACGTCTTCCAAGGGTTCTCAGATGTTGTCCTTCGCTGCTAGTAAGAAGTAAACATTCACAAATGTACAATCACCAGCACACAGCAACAGAACAATATCCGTATCCAATGTATAGTTTCATATGCTGCCATTCGTAAGTAACTTAGAAATAAAAAGTAAATATAAAATATAAATATATAAATATAAAAAATATGCAATAATTTCATTAAGAAAGAAAATATCCATAACATTAAACTTAGAACTAAGTCCAAAAACATGGTACCACGATTTCGTTTAATCAAGGTAAACGATTCTTTTACGGGGAACTATGCGTTTTTACAACAAGATTCCGAAGAATATAGTAAGATTATCATTTCTAAAGTCTAAAACCTGCATAAAGAATATTTTAATTGAAAAGTTTTTATACAAAATTGAAGACTACGTGTTAGATATAGATATATGGAAAAACGTTATGGCTCTAGATTCCACACAAATTTGATTCAAAGTGTATTCCATAGCATTTAAGTTTATTTGAAAAGAGCAATCCCTAAAGTTTATTGCTTCTTCTTCTCATGGAAGTTGATTTGATTTGTGCCAGTGGAGGCGATATTCGAACAAAAGTTTATGAGCTTGATGTGCTGTTGACTGTACGTAGTTTCGAAACGTTCGATCGTTTCGTTTTTATTATTAATGTTAAGATTTTAAGCCTCATGTTGTTGCCACTTCATTTAACCAGAACTGAGAAAGTTAATTTTTTAAAGACTTTTTTATAAGCCAATTGACGGGACTGACAAGTCGTGTGCCTGGTTGTAAGCGACACGGTCCATGACAGTTGCAGTACCACTCAGAGCTTTAAATTGCAAAGATGTGGGGCACTGCCACCGCGCCCGTCACCCTGAGACATAAGTTGGCACATGGGACTTGTCAACTTATGTCTCAGGATGACAGGCGGAGTGACAGTGCCTCTCATATCGTTGTGATTTGAAGATCTGAGTAGCAACTGTTTGCACGATTTATTTGTCTCGTCACTTGGTTTTGCAATAATAATAATAATAGTTGTTAATCTGTATATAATCCCACTACTGGGCACAGCCTCCTCTCACGACGAAAGGGCTTGGACTAAACGTACCACGGCACAGCACTCCTATAAGTACGCTAAAAAGAAAACTATAACACCCGTACGACTTGTTCGTACCATCAAGTAATAAATACTAGCTTATAATATATTATCGAGTTCTTAGGTTTTCGCGATTGTTACACATAGGAAATGAAACTATTTTTCCGGATTTAAATCGCGTATATTTGTTTTTTCAAACTAACCGACGTTTCGGGCCCTTTACAGGTCCCATGGTCAGGGTTGACTGAGGTGGTACAGTTTTCAACCGCGATTTAAATCCGGAAAAATAGTTTCATTTCTTATAATATATTAATTTCTACTTACCAAGATAAGTAGCTTAACGCAAAACGAACTTCAGACCTGTAACAGAAAAAAATATATAGGTATTGATAACTTCAGTAAGGTGAGCCCCACGTAAAAGTTGAGTATGAGCGCAAATTCTTTTTTCAAAATTGTACCTTACGTCATTTATATTATCATGATTTCAGCCGAATGTTATTTAGTACTGGGCATGGGCCTCTCCAAAAGCTACCATTCAAAGGATTTCCGCAACCTTCGCCTGATCACCGGTCCACTTTGGGGGTGGTCTCTTCACGCTGCTTCTCCATTCAAGATCTCTTCGACCCCATCGGCCACTGCCAAGTTAAGTTTAGCAGTCTTTTGGACTATTACTTTTACTCTAAGAAAAAAGAACGCTAACAAAAATTCCTTCAAAAAAAGTCATTAAAAACCAAAAAGAAAAGATCTGCAACAAACATAAAAAAATAGCTCTATTTTTGGGAGAGCGACCGGCACGGTATGCTGAAGGCGCTGGTTCGAATCCGACCGGATCGATTTTTGCATTAATTACTATAACAAAGTAGTGGTGTAAGCTTACAAAAAATAATTCAATAATATTATGGTAGTAAAACGTCGAGTTTTTGTAGCAGTAACCGTACCTATTTCTACCGCCGAGCAGTAATGTTAGCATTACTTCGTTTCGGTTTTTAAGGGTAAGGGAGCTGGTGAAATTACATGCACATGGTACTTATTATGTCTCAGGATGACGGGCGCAGTCGCAGTGAAGATCTTTGAGACTTAAAGCTCTGAGTGGCACTGCAACTGTTTTCGATAGGCGTGCAGCTTACCATCAGGCGTACAACTTGTTCGTCCCGTCATTTGATATTACAAAAAAACTTTATATTTTGTGTGACCTTGAGCCTTCTAATGAGGTTTGTAGTGAGAGATCACGTCTCAGTGCCGTAAGTCACCACTAGCAACACGCAACACCTGTCAAATACTTACGTCTACTTGATAGTTTGTACTAAACTTATATACAAAATAATACATAACAATAATTCTTACAAAAAATATTTTTGCATAAAAACTAGTCTAAACCCCGTCAACGACTCAGACGGAGCACAAATACAGCATTTATGTAAATAACATTAATACATACACTGTATTATGTACAGATGTTCTAACTTGTGCTAAGTAAATAGACTATTTGGACAGATGCTATGTAGTACTGTTTTTGTGTGAAACTATTTTCAAATGACGGTCTTCTAGTGGAGCTAAAATTGCGGTATTTATTTTATGTAGAATGTCGTTCTTGTCTTTATTTTGTTGGACCGCTCAAGCATGTCCTGTAGATTGTAGTGTAGCCTGGAGAGTCCTGTTAGGCTGCCTATCCACCAGAAATGTGCGAGGTACCTAGGCGGTGAGAGGATGTGCTGCGGCGCGGCGCGAGGTTGCGTTACGGACTCTTTTCAGCTATGCGCGGGCGGGGCACGGTGTGGTGGGGTGAGCGGTGACGATGTGTAAGTGTCAGTTTCATACTTTCAGTAGCTCTAGTTTCCTACACCGTTTTGCACACATTTCTCATTCCCCGCACACATCTCTCGCACACTTCTTTCGCTATTTTGTATGTACAAATAAGTAAGTATTTGTTCGTCCGCTAACCCTTTTCCACCGGAGCTGCGCTAAGCGAGGTTAGGAAAATTAAGTAATCCTATTGGTGGTTTTTTTCCTCACACACCGCCTAGCTACGTTGCTCATCTCTGGTGGAAAGGCAGCTTTAGTGTCCTTGTGAAGGTTTGTCATTTCTTGACGTATCAGAGCTTCGACATTTTGTACTATTCCAGAAAAATGTGCATGATGTAACCTGTTAAAGGTTACATCGTTAAACGTATATAAGAAACTAATGTATTTGAAAGAAGTAAGTGACGAAGAAGAAAAGGAATTTAAGAAAGATTCAAAATTAAAAAAAATATAAATGTTCATTTCTATTACTCCCTAGTCAAGTGTCGTCTAATCAATCTGGTTTTTTTATAGATTATAGTGCGCATTTGACCTCTTATCTCACCTGATGGTAAGTGACGATGAGTTCAACGACGGAGCATACACACCTAAATAATGCCTATTCACTCTCGCCTTGAAAACGCTCAAGTATAACGTTCAGGGAACAAGTCTGCAGGCAGGGAATTCCACTCCATAACCGTTCACCATATAAATGTGGAAGCATAATGCTTCGTGCGGATCTTTGGAATATCCACAACGTAGGGGTGGAACAGACGTTACAGATCCTTTTATTTTTTGATTCTAATATTTGTACTAACTTCTTTGGTACCCTGTTTAACACATCTGGAAGTACAAAGTAGGTGGAACCAGAAAAAAGGAACCGGAGAAAAGGGTGGTAAAAAGGTGGGATGATGAAAGAGATCGCATTGCCACAATTTTATACAACAATGCTTTTATGGTGCTACTGCGGCTGCCGAGGTTCTATAACGCGTGTATACTTGTTTTAGTAATAATCATTGACTTACAAATAAATGAACGACGGGTCTAATACAAAAACCACGAAAAAAATGTCCCAAGTCAACCTATTTAAACGTAGTGACATGTAAACGAATATAAAAAAGCTAAAACGTTGAATTTAAATTGTAATGTCATCGCAGTACTGTCTAATTTTGCTTGCTTCGCTGTCAGTCGAACAAACGAAGACTATAGCGTGAATGACGCTCTGTATACGATTTTAACGCCCTTTAAGTTCGGATACTTTTTAGCGCGGACCCGACGTCCATATAATTGTAAGTCAATGGTAATAATAATATATCTTTATTCAAAAACACACCTTAGCCTTATATATAGCGCAGAGAAGAAATTTACAGGTTCGAAATGTAAACAAAATAAAATAAAACAAACTGGTAGAAAGGCGTAACAAATCTAAGGACTCTGGCTCCTAAACTGGACAAATGTGTCTCCTTGTGAAAGAATCGTCCAGGGAAGTAGTGCAACACGTATTTTAGTAACGTGAGCATCACTGTGTTCCGGTTTTGAAGGGTAAGATGCTGGTGAAAGTATAGGCACATGGGACTTGTCAACTTGTGTCTCAGGTGACAGTGCAGTGCCCCTCAGATCTTTGTAATTTAAAGCTCTGAGTGGCTGCAACTGTTATGGACAGGCGTGTCGCTTACCACCAGGCGCACGACTTGTTATTATTATCATAACAAAAAATATATATACTTTCCAAACGCTTTAGTGTAAAATCGTGATATTGCAGATAACCGGTTACCCTTTGGTGCCGTTGATGTATTCCTTTACATACATTTCTTGACTTTATGTGGTACATAAGCACGGGTACATTATATCCATTCCATCTCTCGGCATTCGGCTTAGTAGGCTAAAATTTAAATCCCTATTCAATCCCTATAAACTCTTCGTCGAATTTTTACATATTATTACGTTTCGTAATGAGTTGTCGAGTCACTCTTTTTTAATGATATCTCTTTTTTGAGAAGAGGCTGGTGCCCGGTAATGAAACTATATACAAGCTAACTATATTACTTTAGAAAGACGAAAAAGTGTTTTATAATAACAAGTTAAAGAACCCCCTCATACAAAAGTGTTATGCAATTACGTAGTGTGTACGCAATAGAAGTATTTATGAAAGATAAAGAAATCTGATCTCTCTATATTAGTTCTACAATTATAATAATATATTTTGTTATTATTTAATAATGTTATCTTTTTGTTATTTAATCTATTTTTGTTTATTAATTTGCTTGACTAAGTATATTTCTAAGTCTTATCTACGCGCCATTACAGGGTCCATGTAGTATAATAATTTTATTGCATTCGCTAATAAATAAATACGATTATTATTATTATCTTTTTTAGACTCTCGCCTTTCCCAAAGGCTAAAATATTAATTTTGAAACTTTAAATGGGAGAGGCGGTACTCCCCGGCAAAGGCACAGTCAGCCGGAGTCAGGGACTCAAGTTCAAGAACCGGCGAACAATACGTGCCGCATCCTTATCCTTCAAAACCGGAACACAGTAATGCTCACATTACTGCTTGACGGCAGAAACAGGTAAGGTTGTCCTTTGTAGGAATAAATTTTGCAAAATGGCGTCGAGCTGAATCGAAATTGCCAGTCTTTACTAAAATCATACGACCCTTACAATCTGGCGTCCCCTTCAATCCATCCGACATATAAAACAGTAAGACACAGTTAAGAAAGTGGGTACTTTTCTACCCCCACCCTCATTACGTGTACCGTGTACGCAGTGTACTCCCGATACCCACATTAGCGCCGCTGTGTGCCGCACCCCCTAAATTATTTCGACATATGCAAATTTGTGCGCACCTACATATGTTGTCATAGATTATGGAATAGTAACATCATAATATGAACATTACATATGTGCCTACACATAAAATTACGGTCTTGATGAGGAGGCGACAGAAGCGAGCGTAAGAAGACGAGCGTAACAAGAGCGTTCATGGCCTTCTCCTACCCTGGTGAGAGACAGACGTGATGTATGTAAGTTTGTTATTACTTTGTACGATGTTTTCATAATTATTATTTGTTCATCAAATACTCAAATAAGCCCCATTTAACTACATTTTCATAATATTACAAAAACAAAGTACAACAGACCAATTCGAAACCTCGGCAAAAAAAAAGAAAATAATTCAAATCGTGTATAAAATGAAAACATATTTATAAGTGAAGAATCAATGTCGTAAATTTTTCAAATTTAAATATTATTTATTAAAGATAAAGCTTGGACATAATCATCATCGGATGACGTGACAAGTTTCTTTCGTAAATGATTATTTAATCTAGCCTTGAATAGCCTTAAATTATAGTTATCGAAATGCCGGCAGTGTATTCGATTCCTCTTGCCCTACGCCTTACAAAAGATGATGCAAAGAATTTCATGCGAATGTCAACGACATGAGGATAGAGTGTATTCAGATTTCTAGCAAACCAGTGTGGTTGGAGCTAGGATACAAGTAATCGTAGGTACAAATAAACGAAATAACGACGTAATTTCTACTCTCTTAGTCTATGTCACACACCTAGCGACGCGAG